ACAAACTTCTTCCAATCCCGGATAAATTCCAGGATATACTCCAATTTCTTAAAATGTGGTAAAAGTGTTATACTAGTGTGTGGAAACAATGAATGCTAACATCAACGTGAATCAATAATAGTCCCCCAAACTTAATGCTCTACAGTTTTTCCATACTATACCCTGGAGTTCTCAAACTTCAGAGTATATCAAAATAGCCAGGACTTAATAAAACACCACAGTTAGACTCAATCACCAAGTTTCTGACACAGTGAGTCTGCAGTGAGGTCCAATACTTTGTATTCTAACTGGCTCCCAGGTGATACTTAATACACAAACCATACTTAATTCAGCCAAACTGGAACCATGTGACCTTTTAGGACTGTTTAAAGTTTTCTATTTCCTGTGTATCAACCTAAAAACTCTGACTAAATTTATTTGTACAATGTATAACTGGAAAGTACACACAAAACATTATTAATTTGTAACAGGTAATAACTGGAAACAACTGTGATTTTGTGTAAATATTTAAAATGAGATACGGGGCTGGGGATTTAGCTCAGCGGCAAAAGCACTTGCCTGGCAAGCGCAAGGTCGTGAGTTCGGTTCCTGGTACCGGAGAAAAACCAAAAACCCAAAAAAATAAATAAATAAATAAATAAATAAAATGAGATACAGTACCTGGAATAGGTTTTGAAGGATTTCTGGTGAGAGTACAATATTTTACTTCTTTTGCATCATACTCTGCCCTAAGTTGTTTCATTTGATCTATTTGCAACTGAATCTTCAAGGAGTTATTTTTAATAATCCTTATTCTGAAAAACAGAAAGGCTTTCTGATGTTCTTTTCAACTAATTCTTAAGTCATGAGATTTAAAATAAAACAGGTAAGTTATTATTCTGCTTAATTATTTTGAATCAGATAAAGTAGATAGTTTAAGAAACAACGTCCTAAAAAAGTTACCTTTACAAACGTGGAATAATTTTCTTTCAGAGCACCAGTAAAATCTAATACTATGATTATTAATCCCATTGTGAATTCATATGTGTTAAATACAATCTGACCCCAAAACACTATCTATTCCTTATAATCAAAAATTACTTTTGTCATTTAAAAACTTTTTGTAAATAATTGTATTAGTTTTCTGTGGCCATTATAACAATTACTACAAATTTAATGACTTAAAATAACAAATTATTGCCTCACTGTCCTGGAATGCAAAAGTCCAAAATCAGTATCACCAGACCAGAATAAAATTGTAAGTGCTGTGCTACCTCTCGAAGCTCTAAGGGAGAATCCTTTCCTTGCCTCTGCCAGCCCCTGGGGCCTGCAAAAATCCTTTTTTGTTTGTTTGTTTGTTTTTGAGACAAAGTCTTGGTATGTTGCCTAGATTTGCCTTGAACTCCTAATCCTCCTACCTCAGCTTCTTGAGTAGCTGGAATTACAGGAGTGTGCCACTGCGCCTGGCTAAAAACTTTGTTATAGGATTATTTGAAATTTACTTCCTAGCTGTGTTGGTACAAAGGAGAAATAACATTAAATAAATAGGAAATAACAGATTAAAATAAATTAGATACTGTTACAGGAATGTTAACACTTGTTAAAACATGGTAAAGATAGCTGTTGTAAGCCCAAGGGCCCTGGCAATAGACGCAGTGGGGTTTTGCTGTAGGGGAGAAAGGCTGGGTTCAACTCCAAATACAGCTTTGGCAACTGGGAATCTGCAATCAAAGGAGGGGATAGAAAATTACTAAGAGGAAACACTGGAAGGAGAGATTCCCAATAAACTAGCCTGCTGCAGGATTATGTGGACGGCAGGCCAAGCGGACAGTCAACGTGTGGGGTGAGGAAACTGACGTCTGTGGGGTCAAACCCTAAAGATGACCAAATATGAAAGGGTGAGAGCTGAAACAATTTGACAGGACTCTTGCTAAAACTGAACAGTACACAGATGAATATGAAAGTCCAAAAATCAAGCCTGGATTTTTTTTTTTTTTTTTTTTGGTATTTTTTTTTTTTTTTGGTACTGGGAATTGAACTCAGGAGCTTGTACTTGCCACACAGGTGCTTATGCCGCTGAGCTATATCCTGAGCCCCAAGCCTGGATGAAAAAGAGTTCAGCAAAGCCAAAGCAGAGTTCGATCAGAGAATCTTTGTCAACAAGTAAATGACACAATTTTTCTTTCACATTAAAATCTAGTCTGTCACCAAGCATAATGGCACATACCTGTAATCCCAGCTCCTCAAGAAGCTGAGGCAGGAGGATTGCAAGTTTGAGCCTAGCCTAGGCAATTTAGATCTTGTCTCAAAAAAATAATTAAAAAGGACAGGGGATGTGACTCAATATGAAACCCTGGGTTTAATCTTGGGTTCAATTCCCAATACCAAAACAAAAGAGAAATAACCAACTTGTTAGTAGATAACTGCAGGTAGCTTTTGATTATCATACAAAGCTTTTGGTAACTATGAATGGCTAAGAGTAAGAGCTTGTGGTATTTATGAAATGGAGACTGTGGAGATAAGATAGTGGAAAATAAATAAAATAGACTGTGGAAATAAAATAATAGACCTCCTAAAGAATTGAAACCAGGGTGCTGGGGATTTAGCTCAGCGGCACAGCACCTACCTGGCAAACGCAAGTTTGATTGATGGTACCAGAAAGTGAGTTTGATTCCTGGTGCCAGAAAAAAAAACAAAAACAAAAAAAAAGAAGAATTGAAACCAGGGACTAGAGAGCTGGGGATATAGCTCAGCGGCACAAGCACCTGCCTAGCAAGCACAAGGTCCTGAGTTCGATTCCCACTACCAAAAAAAAAAAAATGTAGAACAGTTAACTGGGCATGGTGGCATGTGCCTGTAATCCCAGCACTTGGGAGGCTGAGGCAAGAGGATCTTTCAAGTTCAAGACCAGTCTGGGCTACAAAGTGAGCTCAAGGCCAGACTGAACTGCATAGCGAGACCCTGTCTCAAAAAAGACAAAAAAAAAAAAGAAACCAGGGACCGAGACATTTGTACATGAATGCTCATAGTGACATCAGTAACAAAATAACCCAACAATCTATCAACAGATGAATGGATAAACAAAATATAGAATGAATACATACTGTATTACATGCAATGGCATATTTAGCCATAAAAAAGAATGGCCTTCTAATACATGCTACCATATGCATGAGAAGGTGTCTGATTGTTGCTCCTTTCTATGCTACTTTTACGATCTCCTTGTTTTTAACAACTTCATGATGGGCCAGGGATATAGTTCTGTGGCACAAGCACCTGCCTGGCAAGCACAAGGTCCTAAGTTCAATTCCTGGTACCAAAAACAAAACAACAACAACAAAAAACAACTTCATGATGATGAAACTAATTGAGCATTTCTTAGCATTTATCATACTTAGAATTTTTGGGGTTTCTTATAAATTGGGACCTTTTACTAGTTCTAGAAAACTCACAACCATTATCTTTCTAAATGTTATCCCTGTGCCATATTCTCTTCTCATAATTTCAGGGTTATGATTAGACATAGTATGACCTGCTCATTCTTATCTTCCACATTTTTCATCATAGCTTCATTGAGATATTGTTCACACACTTTAAAATTCACCCTCGTAAAGTATATAATTCAGTGAATTTTAATACATTCAAAGTTATTCAGCCATCAGTACTACTTAATTCTAGAACATACCATCACCCCCAAAATACAGGAAGTCTTGTGCCCGTCAGCAGTCTGCTGAGCAGACTGTTTACTATGCTGTTCCCAGAGGTGAAACAATTAACATCTGCGAGGGTGCATCTCTTTATCTTCCTAGCTTTATATGGAGAGGGTTACCTAGTAGACTCATCCCTTGGGCAGATCCCAGGCTTTGTCTTTAATTTCCCACTGAACAGTAAAAACTAAAATTTTTGGTCACTAATTTTAGTAAAATGTTCCCAGAGCCAAAGCAGTTTTCACACTCTGCTAATCTTTTGATAGATTGTGCCCTGATAATCTCTTACTATCTAACCAGCTTCCTGATACTTTTAGAAAGGTTTTATTTTGCTCTCTGTGGGCCTGCAAGCAGTGAGTCCATGCCCAGCACTTCCTTCATTGTGTTGAGGATGGTGGGATCTTTGAGAGGAGTGTGAGGACACACACCTTCGTCAAGTAGACTGACAGGAACCCCAAAACCTGAGACCCAGGACAACAGCTGGGTCCCAGGTGCATGGGGCAGGGGAGGCACCACACACATACTTGGAGGGCAGAGTAATTGGCGAGACCAGCAGCATGGAAGTGTCTGACGCAGTAGCAAGGAGCCTGCAATTGAACCCTGGAAAACTCCACCAGCGCAAGTCCAGTCCCAGGCCCCACATCCAGAGGCCAAGATCAGCTCCACACCCAACACATTTCTTTTTTTTTTCCAGTACCAGGAATCAAACTCACAACCTTGCGCTTGCCAGGCAGGCACTGTGCCACTGAACTACATCCCCAGCCCACCCAACACATTTCTGGGATTAAATATGGACACCATCACAGAACTATGAGCACCACAGGTATTTTACTACTTTCATTCTCCCTTGTTGGTCTGATTGGATAGCCCTTCCTTATCTGATTGGATATTATCTTGTTTTCTTCTGTATTCAGTATTTTTGTATTTGGGGTTTTTGTTTTTCCTTTTTCTGTTTTTCTCTCCTTTCTTTCTCTCATCTCCTTTTTCTTTCTTTTTTTTCTTTGGTTCACTTTCATTCTCTCTTTTTCCCTTCTTTTTCAATGTTTAGATTTCTTACCCTTTTTTTCATTCTCTTATATAGACTCACTTTCTCTCTTTCCTCAACTACTGCTTGAATTTAAACTTTCAATGAGTAAACATTGTCTCTGCCCTTTGTGACTACTACTTTGTATTCTATTTTATTCTTTCCTTCCTGTGTCCTCCAGTTTCCCAAAACTTGGGCAATCGTGCTTTAATTTCCAGCCCTGACTATTATATTTGTCCTCACTCATCACTTGAGCCTATCCCCTAACCATCTTAACCCCCCTGCTCCTGACAGAAGGGTAAAATCACCTTACTAAGGGGAAAATCACTGAATATAAGTGCACAGTATACGTTTGATTTTGTTACATAATTTTAGAGTTTACTTCCATGATCAGAGGTAACAGGTTAATGGTTACCATAGTTTATCAGTAGTTACGCTGCACTTGAAACTAGTGTTATTACTAACTGTACTCCTTTATCCAGGATGTCACACATGTTATAAACAGTTTTTCTCCCCTGTGTGATAACACTGTGACTGTATGAGGTCATAATCACCACCACAACTCAGTGCCAAAGTGTTGGGAGCTGAGCCAAATAGTAATCTTGCATCCTTTACAAATTGGAAAGCTAGGGCCTTGGAATAGCTATAAGAAACCACCTACATCTAGAAGACATCTGTGAGGAACAGATATCCTCTAGGGAAACCTAAATACTATCAATAAAGCTATATATCATAAGAAACTGGCAAGTATCAACACAGAAAAAACAGAAGAGAAAATAGAAAATGACAAGACACAGAAGCAAAATGCAACCCCAGACCGCCTGCCCACCCGGGACAAGCCCAGAACTCAAGGAGACACATGAAATTGGAAATCAGACACCGGGACTTTCTAAAACGATAGCAGCAGAAGTAAAAAAACAAGTGGACAAGGCTATGGAGAAAATAATCTCTCAGGTACAGAAAGAAATGATGCTTAAAATCCAAGATATTAGAGAAGACACAGATAAAAGAATAGATGGGCTTAGAAAAATGATGGAAACAAATAATGCCCAGCATAGGAAAGAAATGGAATCCATGAAACAGA